CAACAAAGAAAGATGACAACAATGGACAACAGCAACAACAATAAACAATTATAAAAAGTCATACTGCAGTTTTTTTTGTTGTTTTTTTAACAAATAGGATGGCTAAAAGGGAAAGGTAACAAAACAAACAAACAAACAAACAAAAAAAACCCCAGCTAGATTTCAAGACAAATGTAGAAAACTAAAAACAGGAACATGTCAGCATTGGACCCTGCCAGGTGTCCAACAGATTCTTAAAGACACTTAGAGAGGTCAAGGTCGAGAGCTTCAAATATTTTTGTAAGATTTAATTTCGTTTCGTTTGTAAGATTTCCCATTTCGTTTAACAAATCTGCGCTACTCGTTTGTTACATATTTAATTTAAGTATAATCTGATAATTAAAACGTTTAACAATCTGATTGTTAGCTTAACTCTGTTGAGCTCTGAAAGTTGATATAATTTATATAATTGATATAGAAACAAACACAACGAAGCATTAAAAACAGCTGTAAACGTTTTAGGTATGACCAGCAATTTCTAAAATGTCCATTTTATATTTTCTTCATCACTGAACTATTTAAAAGTCAAACTTCACAAAGTTTTACAGATTAAACACATGAGCTAACAAGCTTACCGAGCGTTAGCTTAGCGGCAGATGTAAACAGACGTTTACGTAGTCGTCTCGTCGAGCTGGCTTGTACGTCGACGTCTTACGTTAACGTCGTTGCCATATTAAATGTGGCGGAAGTGAAGCGAAATAATTTTTTTTCATATTTTTTTTTCCATTCAACCTTTATTTATACAGGTTGGTCTCATTGAACTTTTATCATTCATTCAGTGGAAACATGTAAACAGCTGTGCAAGCCTATTTCCCCCCCACAAGGTTTTTAAGTTACACACATACAGACTGAGGAGTCTACCGCTGCAGCGGTACGTCAGAGCGTCCGCTATATTGGATGTGGCAAATCTGCCGGTCAAGGAAATAGACTGAACTTCATAAAGCACCGTTCTACAAAATGTTCTAAATTAATCCTCGTCGTTCACACACCCCAATATATTTGGAAAACAAACAGGCACCAAAGACAGCATTTGCAACTTTTAACGTGACTATTAAAAAGGTTTACTCCTTATTTAGGTTATAGGTGAGCACTAAAACATATGTATTCTTTTTGAGTGTTTACAACTACTAACGTGTGTAACCATCCATCCATCCATTTTCTTTACCCGTTTATTCCATTTTGCTGCATCGCTGGTGCCCATGTCCAGCAATCACTGTGCGAGGGGTGGGGTACACCCTGGACGGGTCGCAAGTCCATCACAGGGACACATAGAGACAAACGAGACAAACAACCATTCACTCTCTCACTCACACCTAGGGACAATTTAGAGTTACCAATCAGCCTAACATGCATGTTTTTGGTCTGTGGGAGGAAACCGGAGTATCCGGAGAAAACCCACGCATGCACGGAGAGAACATGCAAACTCCACCCAGAAAGGCCCCTGGACCGGGGTTTGAACCAAGGACCTGCTCGCTGAGAGGCAGCAGCTCTACCAGTTGTGCCACCGTGCTGCCAACGTGTGTAACATTAACACTATTATTGTGATGATAAACATAGAAATATTCATATTTAATATTTAATCTGCGTCTTAACCAGATCCTGAAATGTAGATGTGACGTGGATCTTTCTGAATAAAGAGCATTTACATTTAACTTAATTTGATTAATCACATCGATGAACATATATACACACCAACATATATTTGCAGAGGGTGGTGGGGTGCTGAACATACATATATATTTGTGTGTACATAACTCACTAAAATGTGTAATAAAAATAGATGTACATTGGGTATTCTGAGAAAAAAAAAATCAGAATTCAGGAAACTAACACTGCGATCCTAAAAAAAAGGAATTTCCCTAAAGGAAATTCCCCAAAGGATCAAGTTTTATCTATTGGGCCAGTGAATAAATAAATAAACCTGCAACGCAGATGCATTGTTTCATTGTTTAGTTTGGATTTCCTTTTAACAGAAATGATGCAATTATCATTTAACAAAAAAAAAATACCTTTAATAAAACTGGGATGATCTACAAATACATCAGATTGTCAAAAGGTACATTACTAAATTGCACAATTAAAATTAAAATGATTTGATCATGAAAAAAAATTTGTTTTATTGTACGTATATATAATTTTTACATAGCTAGACATTCCCCATGATTAACATTTCATGTTTCACACACAAATATAAAAGTGAAGTGTTGCTGAACTGGTTTATTGTTTTAGGTCAAGAATTGTCAGAAACACAGAACAATTTGCTCTAATTAGAACAAGACCTTAAGCATGCACTGTTGAATAAAACATTGTTATGGTTTGTTAAAATTTCCATTCAAAAGAAAGAATAATGGTAATAAATGATCAAGAACATACAGCTTTACAATGAACGTTTTTTTCTCTCCCCAAAAAATTAAACACAAACAGAGGGGATTGAAGGAATATTGTTACTGATAAAACCTGGCAAGTCACTGGTGCTTGCATTGTGGCATCTCACACTTCAAATTACAGATTAATTTGGTTTACAAACCAAATTTGGACAAAAATGTAGAGCCAAATTGTTCGTGTACAAAAATAAAAGTTACTGGTAAGATAAAACGGCATAAACTGGTTAAGTCCAAATCTTAAACAGACGTTGTGTTGTAAATTAAGCGTGAAATACTTATCTGATAGCAGACCAAATTAGAACAAATGTAGCTTATCACAATAGTTGAGTATATAAAAACATAAGAACACATTAACCTACATAAAAATACAAAGTTAAATCAGGATTACTTGTTTTGAACAGATATCCATAAAGTCTATGGGCAGGGATATAAAGATGACTAAAAGGAAAAACCACAAGGCTAATTAACAAATAAGAAACAAACTAAACTTAGGATTTACCGCAGAGGGACCAAGAAATGCAAGTATGCCAAAATATTCACAACCCAGACATAAACTTGGGTCCTTGGGGAGTTATCAGCAAGTGATGGCTGGACTGAAAACTAAAGTTTTTAATGTTCATCTCCTCTTCCATGTCTTCAGTCACCTTTGGTAAGGAGGTCTTCTATGTAGGCATCGAGTTCATCATCCGTGTTGATGTCAATGTCCTTTTATTGTCAAAAAATAATAATTCTAATTGTATTACTTTATACACACAAGTGTGATCATAAATTGCTCCAACATATTATTTACGTTATGGAGATTCAACAGGAAGGTGAAAAAATAATAGAGGTCTCACCTCTTGCACTTTCTGCAGAAGTGCTACAATGTTTGTTCGTAGTTTTTGTAGTTTCTCATCCGCCTCCTTCAGCTTGAGCTCGGCGTTGTTGTTCTTTTCTTCCACAGCTTTGGCCCTCGCATCAGCTCTGCTCTGGTACGAGTTGCACAACGACTGGAGACCTGATTCATACTGCTGAAAATATTCTTTCTAAAAAGAGGAATAAAAATGGTGGAAATAAAACAAAAAATGAAATTAAATGCATTAGCTGTGAATAAGTCAACAATAGTTATGCTTAGTCAACTATTATCTATGATCTGTCTTCCAGTAGGTAGTCTTTAACTCAATTTCCTAGAGTATTTTAAGTATTAAATCTCCCTAATTCAGATTCAGTCCATTAAATCATGTATCTCACCAAGGGAAAGGCTACCAACTCCTCTGCTGTCATGCTGTTAACATCATCCTTTGGAATCCGAAAAGCAGGAGGGTAGAAGTAACGCAGCATCGTCCTGGAATAATGGAAACAGAACAGTGAATGCAGGCTTATGAAATACTTTAGAGAAGAAAGACAAACTAAAAATTATCTGCAGATATCTGTAATAAAAAGAAATGGTGTGTAGCTCACCTCATCATGGAAACCAGGCTATCAGTCACCTCTCGACTGGTTCCAGGCTGAGTCGTGTCCGGCTCCATGGGTGCAGGGCCTTTCTCAACCTCCTGTTGGGTATCAGGCGTCTGAGAGATGGGGGATGGTGGACGCATCAACCGTACTTCATCACTCCCCTTAAACACCCTTAACAGTGACACAAAGAACAGGTTTATTTATCATGTAAACAAAGCACGATCAGAATGCATCTAAACAGAAATCTTACCATCGGTCTTTGGGAGTAGATCGCGGCACGTAATCAAATTTAACTTTCCAACGAACGCTCTGTTTATTAGTCTCCACAGCGACGACTTTGCCAGTAAACCACTCTTTATTGACACGTACTTCAACAAGCAGACCCTTATCTATAATAATATCAACAAAACCCATTATTTCTCCCCATTCCCATTTGACACATTAAAAAGGTGCAACAGTCGACCATCTCACCTTTCTGAGCACTTTTTATGTCGTTCTCTGGTTCCTTCTCTGGAACTTTCTCAGATGCCTGAAAATACCAAAATGATTACAACCACAGACACAGGAGTATTTTACAGAAGAAAAAAATGTTCTGATAGAAAAAAAGGTCCCAAACCGATCCTGATTATAAGGTAAGTTTGGCATGCTCACTAAAAAGCTACATTAAGGAAACGACAGCCCCACTAACAAAAATAGAGAAGTAAAGAAGGAGAATGTTAATCTGACAAACACTCAAGCGTGCTGAGAACCCAGTTGTTCCTGGATTGTGAGAAATTGTGAGTACCGGTAGATGCAGCTCAGGTTTATTCAGAAGTAGCAGACAGACTGTAAAGCTACCTTTTCTTTAGTTTCTTGCTGTTGAGTGGAAATAGATTTAACAGAGGCTGATGTGGTTGGTGGCTGCCGCAAAGGAGTGGAAATTGTTTTCTTCTCAGGCTGAGTGTACGTTTTAACCTGCAAGGTCAATAGCAGAGGGGGATCTGACTGGAAGTTCTTTTGGAGGCTGGATTCACCAACACTATTGCATGCTAATAAAGTAGAACTTGCAGCAGCAGTTCAGTACAAACTCTCCAAGTAAAATTTGTCTACGGGAAAAAAAAAAATAAAAATCAAGGAAAATAGGAAACAGCTCATGGACCAATTTGATGCCATCTTCAAATGTTTTGTTATATTTACATCAAGTGCAGATCAATAAAGCTTTTCTCAACGCAGAGGCATCTTCCATTTAAATGTTGTTTCACTTATAAAGGGTGTGCGCTACTATTCAGATGTTTTTGTATCACTGTTACTTGTGCTAAAAAAAGAACTAAGGGGGAAAGGTATTTGCATTTGAGGAATACATATTTTCTACGCAATAAAGCTTTTTTGTTTATTAGGGAAGCAAAAGAAAAGGGGAGCACTGGGATGTTACTGTGCAGCCTCAGTGGCTGTAACACGATTAAAGGCAAGAAAAGGGACGACAAAGGGTCTCTGTAGACACAGATAATCCATAAATATGATTTTATAATCCCTATATGAAGGGCCTACGTATGTAAATATCTGGTTAAGTTGTTTCTGTTCCTGTTTTAATGCATTAAAATTATTCTCCATTTTAAAGTGAATTAATGTATTACACTAGTAAAAAATATTAGTACAAGTGTAAAACAGGACAGCGCTGATTCTCATACAATGCCAAGAGTGAACTACATGTGTTTACCTCATCCAGCTTGCCACGTTTGGCTGGGGTGGGCTTCTCTACCACTTTACCACGGTTACTGGTTGCTGTGGCCATCTTGGATTTCTTTGTTTGTGGTTCTTCTTGACTGTCCTCTTCACTGTCTTCCTCCTCTTCTTCGTCCTCTTTATCTTCTTCCTCCTCCTCCTCCTCTTCTTCTTCTTCTTCCTCCTCTTCATCACTGTCTTCCTGCTCAATTATTCTCTTGCGAAGTCCAGTAGGTGCCGGTTTAACAGATGCTGCTTTGGTGGAGGCCTGTATGGAGACAAGTTTGACTATTTCATATTCTTTTTAATTTTAACTTGTTAAATGATCCATCACTCAAAATCTCTTTACTTACTCGTGAGCTGCGACTGGATGGGGGTGTTTTTGCAGTAGTTTTGGACACTGGCTTTGGTGCAGGTGGAGGAGGCTTTGCTGCAGCTCTGGATCTGGACAGTTCAACTTTAGGTGGTGGAGCTGCGGCAGCAGAAGCCCGACTGGGGCGCTGAGAAGCCGTACGGGTTGGAGGAACGCTTGAAGCATTTTTCAGGTGGGCTGGGAGGGGTGGTGAGCGTGGGCGTGTTACGGTCCTTTCAGAAGACCTGGTTATCTAAATAAATAACATGACAAGTTATAAAAATTACAATTTTATTTACAAAACAATAAAAAAATTCACGTCTCTCTTTCCTGTGGCAAAGACTAGATAATAGACTCTAATGACACACAGCATTGAAATTTAACAATTTAACAACTCAAGCACAACTAAATTAATGCCTCAAAATAGTAAAATTCAGGAGAAAACGGCTTCAGCTAGCCTTGATTTGTGAAAAATACAGACTTGACAAGAATAGCTGCCTGTACCTGTGAAAATGTCTTCGGTTTGGTGCTGACATCAAGTGGTAACTTTTTGATATCGTCTGCAGATTTAATTGTGTTGGTTTTCTGAAATAAAATAAAATATATTTCTCTGATATGCACAAGAGAGAGAAAAAAGAGATGCATAAATAAATATATTACCTCCAAGGCTTCTAGTTTCTCCTGCTGCTGCTTGATTTTCTCAGCTAACTCCTTCTTTTTGTCTTCAGCCGATGGTTTGTCTTTTTTCAAAACGCCACAAGGTAGATTCTGCTTCTGTTCGGATGCATCACACCTACAAACACAAAGTGCAAACACTACAGTTCAGTAATTTAGAAACAAAGTCCCACAAAACAGCATTACAGAAAAAACTGGGACAAGACAGTCACAAAAAAATAGTAAAATAACAGTGACTGCCAGTATACGACATAGTCGCATCCACAACGCATTTGTACCTGTCCTGGCTGCTGTCAGGGTTCATCAGACACACCCAACTGTCTGGGTAGCGTTTATCCACTGCATCCAGCTGAAAAGGCAGCGTCCTCCACTTTAAACATTTATCTAAAAATTAAATGAAAAAGTTCAGACCAAGTCTGCTCAGAGAGTAATGTGTTTGTGACAGTACAGCTGTGAATGACTAATGACTGAGTCACTTACCACACTGAATAGTAAGTGGTATCTCCATTGCGCGACGTCTTTTGTATCTCAACTCTGATGAAGGAGGTGCAGACCAGCTAGCAGACAAATATCCAAACTCATCCCAGAACTTTACGATGCCTTTTTGAGCTGCATAAACACACAAAAACTTATTTTTTTTTTTTTAAACCAGTATTCATGTATTTTTCTCCCCTTAAAGTTGCATTTTCCAATTTGCTATAACTGCAGCTGCTGTTAAACATTTAGCATTGATGATATGATGAATATGATGATATATGAATATGATCATATTCTTATGTTTGCCTTCTTGAGGCCTGACTTGCTAATGTCACTTGCATGAACAGAAACATTTTATCTGTGAGAATTTACTAATAATAACAAAATAATAATTACAAAAAAAACTTACCGTGAGAATTTACTACTACTAATAATAATAATAATTACAAAAAAAACTTACCGATGTTGATATCCTTCCAGTACTGAGCTAGATGTTCTCCCATGGCTTTCAGTAAGTGTCTGTACTCTTTAGCATCTGCAAAGTCTTGTTTGTTGTGAGTTGGCTCTAAAACCAAATATGGGACATCTACAACTCCAACTACGCCTCCACACGCCCTTAAACACAAAAAAACATGTTTCAGTTGATGGTTACAATTAAAAGTAAAAGAATTCCCTTCTTTGTGCATTAAACTTACATGCCTCCCTCAAGCTGAGGCCCCGTCTTCTCATACAACTTAATGAGGCGAGAGCAGTTGTACACAAACATCCCATCCAAGTCCCTCTGTTCAATATTCAGTCCAAATATAAAATTTAGGTCCTTGGGTTCCTTCAGTGCTCTAAAAACAAGCAAGAATAGGGAGAAAATACTAAATAAGAAAAGAGGAACTATTTATCATGCTTCAAATGGCTAAGCTGACTTGGGTTGGAGAATTTTAAATACAAAATTTGCACATAGAATCAGTTAATTTGTAATATTAATTTGTTAATTGTACTGTACAGAGCATATTACTTAAGAACTTGCATTCAGTGCCAGATACAAAGTTAACTTATTTCTATTTGAAAAATATATGACAAGGGTGCAGATATTTAATTAAAAAAAAAAAAACTATGGATAAGTTTTACAGGTCAAGTCATAACATGCTCTAATTATCCTTTTCTGTTATATTGTGTAGTTAAAATCATAAAACACATCACAATGTTTAAACACATGTCAAAACAACAACCATTTTAAAATCATACAACCTAAACTCAAATAAAACAGCTTATACTGGGGTTACACAATATTAGACAAGATTATGTAAAATTAAATTGTTTGAGATTGTAATGATGTACATTACATCATTACAACTGATGCTGAATTACAATGATGCTCTACTGTTTACATTTGCACTACTATTTATAGTCACACTACTGTTTATATTCACACTACTGTTTATATTCACACTACTGTTTATATTCACACTACTGTTTATATTTGCACTATTCTTCCCTCTTTTAAATCACAACTGAAAACACACCTGTTCAAACATGCATATTCTATTTAACTTTGTTTTAAGTGTTGTTTTATCGTGACTTATTTGAATTATTTGTTGATTCTGTTTTTATTAATTGCTGATTTTAATTGTTTTTGGAAGGTGACCTTGGGTTTTTGAAAGGCGCCCTGAAATAAAATGTATTATTATTATTACTATTTAGTCACTCTACTGTTTACATTCACACTACTGTTTATATTCCCACTGTTTATATTCGCACTACTGTTTATATTTGCACTACTGTTTATATTTGCACTACTGTTTATATTCACACTACTGTTGATATATATTTTTTACCAGCCTTATTGCATGTCACTTTACCTCTATACCAATATCAAAGACTTCATACATATACTGTGTACATTCACTTCATATGCTGCTTTGTCACTTTACTACAAATGTCAATGTCAGGAACTTTATTTTATTTTATAGATATACTTTTAAAAAAATATTTTTATACTGCTATACTACAATTTAGGACAGTATCATACTTCGTTATTTCATTTTATGCTAATGTCTATTAAATGTTTTAATGTTTAATGGTTATTGTTGCACCAGGGGTCTGAGAGTAATGTAATTTCAATCCTGTGTCTGTCCTGTACATATTGCAGTTTTGACAATAAAGTTGACTTTGATTGTAATGACAAGATCTGTTGTGATAAACCAACATTTTCCTCAGTCCTCACTTTCTTTCCTGTGCATCACTATCATTTAAACCAGGTGTGAGCATCAAGGCCAGTAAGAGTCCTCGGATCCAAAGGACCACGTCTTGTTTTGTTGTAATGTCTGCATTTGCTGCCTCAAATGACTGGAATCTGCTGCAGAAAACAGTGGGACTCATTGTGTTAAAAAGTTTCTGCTTTTAAAAGTCATTTTATTACTTAATTTCTATTATTGAATTTTGCAGTATTTGATTTTAATGCTTCTTTCATTTGCTTATTATTGTTTATGGTGTTTTGTGTTTTTTGTATCCCTCCCTGCCCATTTCACTTAAATGTATACGTTTTGTTTTTATAAGTGTGATCCGTTTCTACATCATTATTACTAACAGACATCAGGGGCATTGAGCTCACTAGCTAATTTGTCAGATACAACTAAAAAATAAGTTAAAAAAAAAAAGCCCCCTTTGATTTATTTTGTTGTTTCTCAAAGATGTTTCTTCAGTCCTATACTAAAGAAGCTCTTTGGATGCGAGGTGAAATGTCTTCCAAGAAATAATAGCTCCAGATGACCATCTAGCTAAACTTTAGGATTACCATGTCCTGGATAACTAAGAATCCACACAAACAACATTCAATATAGATAATTAGTGACAGTACAGATGTAGATAAGCATACCAACTCTGCTTTAGAGTTAAAAAAACACTTTTTCTAACATACTTTTGTTTGGCTTCAAGATTTCTTTTCCTTATGTCAGCCTCCCTTCGCAGCATCATGGCTGAATCCTGGACTTTCCTCAGAATTGTCTAAAATAACAAAAGAGAAGAAATCAGTTATTTAAATAGTTTTGTGATAAAAAAAACAAAAAAAACAAAAAAAACATTGTCTGCAGGGACAGACACTAGCCCACATAAAATCATTTGTATTTGACAAAAAAAAACTTTTCTCACCCTTGAATCTTTTGATATGTCATCTCCTAATCTGGTCTCCATAGCTATACGCTTGCTGTCTGCTTCTCTGGCCTTCTCCTCAGCTGAAAGTCATAACAGAATCAAGTCCAGTTAACTTGGAAATAAAATTTAAAATCTTTAATTATTCCATCAAAAACTTACCAATTTTTGCAAGATGATCTGCCTTTTTAACTTCATGTTCAGCACGTGTTTTGAAACGAGTGGATGTGTATTTATACATTCTTAAAAATAAAAAATGGCCGTCAAAATCTCATTAAATTAACAAAACACCAAGTCAATCATCATTTATGGACATTATGAAATTACCTTGGTTTATAAAGGCAGCAGGACAGTCTCTTAGTCCTAACTTTATGTCCCTGGATAAAAATCCTCATGCGTGGGTCAATGTACAGCACAGCAGTGTAAGCCCTGAACGACCTCCTTTCTGGCTTCCTGGGAAAGTTAGAAAAACTATTGAAAAACATTTCTGACAAAAGCAATCATCTATAAATGTTTATACAAATAAAAAATGCATATGACTCGATGCCTTGCATGCCAAAGTTTAAAACATTTTATGCACAATTTGTTAGCATTAAGCTTATATGTTGCAGATGACTCAACTGCCACACCATATTTTAGATTAGTGTCTGTAAGATGAGTGAGTCAGTCATTTCTGTGTATTCCAAGATTAGCTGCAGCAGCCATCTCAAATAAACTGACTTTAAAAAGTAACCAGTTTTAGAACTGCATTCACTGATTACTTTGAGAGTTTCATTACAAGTGATTCATGACATATTTTGCCAACTGACAAATAAACTATCAAACACTGGCAATAACGTAATTACCCTAATTATAACAGATTTTACTACCCTATATTTCGCTGTATAAGTCACGTTTTTTTTGTTTGTTTTTTTTGCATAATTTGCATGCCCTACAACTTATAGGCCGAAGTGATGTATTTATGGATTTTCCCCCCCATATTTATAAACCGAGTTTTGCCTGAGATACGACCGTTTTCATTCATTCTGACTGAAAAAAAATGAACATTACCATTTTCAGCCACTAGATGGCAGCAGCGTAGTAAGGCATGTCGTATTATGTAATGGTAAAAATGGATATAATGACAAATTCAAAAAAGTTTAAGACAAAAACAACTGGACTTTATTTATTATACTTTGTTTTTGTCTTGAAGTTTTTTGAATTTACCATGTCCTGGATGACTGAGAATCTTCACCAGCTATTAATGACACAATCGGCTTGTCAAAGTCTTCCACCTTCATTCTGCCTGCTGCTTGGAGCAACCGTCAAACCAGCTTCATTTCACTGCAATGCTCTGGTGAAATGCAGCTAATTTGACCATTAACGTGTATTTATTAAGTAAAAGTTCAACTGAGACCATCAATTGAGCTATAATGTTGAGCAAACAAATAATTGCTTTAGGTGCTTATCTTGTTAAATTTTGAAGAAACGCGCAGCGTTCCTCCTTTTTTCCTCCCTGTCTGCGCGCTCCCAGGAGCACTGAGGCAGTGAATACTTTTGAAATACAGTCGATTTGACCGTCAAATTGCATTTATTAAGCAAAAGTTAGACTGAGACACACCTTTCCTAAACTTTCGAGCAAACAAATAATTGTTTTTAAGTGTTAATCTTGTTAAATTCTCGTTAAAGTCCTCCCGTGCATGCTCCCGCGGCCGCCATTTGGCAGCCCATTGATTTTTGACACATCGGCCCACATTTCCAGTTCGTCAGCGGTGACGAGAAACAAACGCGAAGCGTCAGCGATGAAGCAGAATAGATGCGGTGTATACTACAAAGCGACATATTTATGGATTTTTCCACTTTATTAGACAAATATGGATTGATGTGACTTATAGGGCGGTGCGACATGTCCGCCGGAAAATATGGGACATGTAATTAAATTCATCTTCTAACACAGCAACAGCTAAACTCACACTCCTTCCACAGGTGTTCCAGCCATGAGTATGTCCTGGTGATCAGACTCTACATCCAGCTCTGGATCTCCGTTGTCCATCAGCTTTAGGTTATAGATGACTACAAGAGTGCCTTAAAGAAATAAAAACAAAAGTGATACCAAAAAAAAAAAAAAAAAAAAGTATTTCAGCGAACACACTTTAAATAACTTGTGAAAATCTTATGCATGACAAAAACAGTTGCTTAAGACTTAGACAAACTTGTCATATGCTTACCACTGTCGCTTTCTATTTTGTTGAACTGTTCCATCAGCTGCTGCTCATTTTTAAAAGGAGAGTATTTGAAGATGAGCTCGGTCTCTATCGCATATTTCTCAGGATCGGAAGTCAGGGGCTCCTTGGTTTTCAGATCCCAGGAGGGGAGAGGTACTATGACCTGTGAGAGGATTAAAAGTATTAAATACAATGCTAAAACAACCAAACTTTCCGTCTGTTTTGAAATCACTATCAACTCAAATACTTTTTTATCAGTCAAACCCACAACGTTGTTTTTCAGTCCTATTCCTTTGATTCATTTGAAGCAAACATGCAGCTGGTTAATTTAAAAATATAAATATAGGGTTACCAAGAGAAAAAAACAAACAAACATGCTGTTCATTAACAAAAAGTAGCATCTAATTCTATACCCATTTGTGACTGTATCAATTCAAAATGACAAACAAAGCAGTGATGCAAACAGTCTTCTGTTTATTCTATCATCTTTATTGACTCTCAACACAAACTCCCTTTTAGCAAATATTTTTGAAATTCAAACATTACAACTACCGGTACGTGTTTTCGTATGAAACACATGCAGGTTTTCTTTCTTAATAATGCCTATTACAAATGCAAAGTGGATGCAAATTCTGCACAAATGAAGAGCTAGTGCAATGTTCTTTATAAAAACTGTAAAATGCAGAACGTGTAATACATTTGCAATCAGTTCAACTGCATCAACACACGCTGAAGAGATACTGTATGTATACCGGTATGCGTGTACACAAACGATTTGATTATAAAAAAATAAAATATAAAAAAAGATTACAAACAGGACAAAAAAAAATTTTTTTTAAATCAAGAGAAATATAAATAATAGTATACCAAGTTACGTCATAGCTTCATATTATAAATCAACATGCTCAAATCCTGTATAAGTAGAATCTGACCTCATCAAGTGCTTCCTCTTCGTGGAATGTTCTTGACAGGAAAAGACAAGTTAGTGTATTTTCTTTTTTTGTGAACAAGATGAAATCTTTCCCAATTCGCATTGACCCCCTGCAATAGACAAAAAAAGGGGAAAATATTATATTATTAGAGACAATTTAAAAGATCAGTGTACCAATTACACAAAATTACTAAAAGAACTGCGTGAAGGACTCACGATTTCAATCCATTTCCATACTGGCCAATCTGGGTGGACTCTGGGGACCGTTTGTTTGACTTTCCAAACTGAATCACGTGAGTTGCCTCAACTAATAAAATAGAGATGTTTTAAAACAAAATCAGCAATGTGTATGACCACTAAACATCATTATTGACCAATATTAAAATCACACTTACTAGGGTCCATCCCAATACCATCATCCAGAAAGCAAAGCATAAAACCACCACGTAACTCTGCTCTTTTTTCTGGAAGAATAACATGAAAATATATATTTTTTTCTTCTTTCTGCACCTTTTTTCATTCATTTTTTTTTTTCCGTTTTGATGAATTTGTTTTGTTTATTTTTTCTTTTAAATTAATGAATAAATAAATAACAAAAAAGTAAAAGAAATAAAAATGAGAAACTGGTGAATTAGTATTTTGTGTACCTGTGTAGATGTCTATTCGAGTGGCATCTGCATCTCTGTAACAGAAAAGTTAAATTTGCTATTAAAAAACATTTTTGTACAATGAAACTTATTGTCACTAAATGTAATTATTATTGTAAATCCTTGTGTGTTACCTTGAATTGTCTACAAGCTCAGCCAAGGCCCCAAATAAGAACTCGTGAGTTGTCCTAAAAACATAAAATTTATTCTATAAAAGATGAACAATTAACTCTCTCGTACATGAGCCCCCAAGGCTCAATGAGATTAATCTGTATAAATAAAGGTTGAATGAATGAATGAACAAGGCAGACTTTTCCAATATAAATTATAGGTATGCTACTCTTGTTATACATCTCATAAACTTGCATTTCTTCAAACACATTACAAGGTTTTGTTAATGTAACTATAGCGTTCCCCACAAATACTGTACACTGGGTCATTTACATAATATAACAATGAAATTAAAAAACGGTATCAATCCATACTTTTGTTCTTTTTAAGAAACCCCCACCACCACAAACAACAACAACAACAACAACAACAACAACAACAACAACAACAACAACAACAACAAAATAAAAGTTATGCAATTTCGGCCAGCACAGTGATGCAACTGGTAGAGCTGCTGCCTCTCAGCGAGCAGGTCCTTGGTTCAAATCCCGGTCCAGAGGCCTTTCTGGGTGGAGTTTGCATGTTCTCTTTGTGCATGCGTGGGTTTTCTCCGGGTGCTCCGGATTCCTCCCACAAACCAAAAACATGTATGTTAGGTCAATTGGTAAATCTAAATTGTCCCTAGGTGTGAGAGTGAATGGTTGTTTGTCTTGTTTGTCTCCGTGTGTCCCAGTGATGGACTTGCGACCCGTCCAGGGTGTACCCCCCCCCCCCGCACAGTGATTGCTGGACATGGGCTCCGGTGACCCCCTTGACCCAAAATGGAAGAAGCGGGTAAAAGATAATAGATGGATGGATGGATATGCAATTTCTTTACAACTGTGTGTAGCGCATCATTTCAGGGCACACCCAAGATAAAATATATTGCCTATTACTCCCCTTTTTATGCTCTTGATAGCTATAGTGTTAAATACCTCTAAAATTTATTGCATAGCTAAAGAATTGTACAACTATTTTAATCCCCTTAGGTTGTAATGTGGTGTTACAAAAAGGTTGTGACTTGACACAAACAATAAATTTGGTATCCTGATGCATGCTCAATAATCCAGGTAGAAAAATCTAAAAAAGTTAAATCTGGTCTTCTGGACATTCAAAAAAAAAAAAAAAAAAAAGCAAAACAACAAAAAAATGTAGAAATGTTTCGTTTTTCATCAGTGGCTGTTTAGTTTCCCCGATGTAAAACTGATCACAGCCCTCCTGACACTGAACAGCATACACAACATTGCTCTGTTTGTGTCGGGGGACTGGATCTTTGGGATGAACCAGTCTTTGCTGTAATGTATTTTGGGGTTTAAAAACCAATGGGACGTTGTGTTTAGAAAATAAACGTCTCAGTTTCTCTGATACTCCCTCAACATACGGAATGACCAACATTTTACTGACCACATCAACTCTGTGGATAAATACATCAAGTTCACATGAGAAGATGTACAAAGCAGGTTGGCTTTCTTGGACTGTGAGGTCTCAGTCTCTGATAGAGGACATTTGCAAACCGAGGTGTACCGCAAACCCACACACACAGACCAGTATTTGCAGTTTGACTCCCATCACCCTTTGGAGCACAAGTTAGGAGTCATCAGGACTCTGTATCACAGAGCAGACAGTGTCCCCACTAGCTCAGGAGCCAGGCAGAAGGAGAAATCCCACACAAGACAGGCTCTAGAGCAATGTGGATATCCTAACTGGGCCTTCCTGAAAGCAGAGAAGAAACCCAAACAGGACTCCAGTCAGCCAACAGGTGAAAAGGAGGAACCCAGACCCAGACCAGTGGTCATTCCGTATGTTGAGGGAGTATCAGAGAAACAGAGACGTTTATTTTCTAAATACAACGTCCCAGTGGATTTTAAACCACAAAACACATTATGGCAAAGACTGGTTCATCCCAAAGATCCAGTCCCCCGGCACAAACAGAGTAATATTGTGTATGCTGTTCAGTGTCAAGAGGGTGATCAGTCTTACATCGGGGAAACTAAACAGCCACTGGCCAAAAGGATGGCCCAGCACAGAAGATCAATAACATCAGGCCAGGACTCTGCGGTCTACACTCATCTCCAGGCCAGCGGTCACTCTTTCAGGGATGAAGATGTTCACATCCTGGATAGAGAGGAACGATGGTTTGAGAGAGGAGTCAAGGAGGCCATCTTTGTGAAAAGAAATCATCCATCATTAAACAGGGGTGGAGGCCTCCGTGTTCAACTGTCCCCCTCTTACAATGCTGTGATTGCTAGTATCACTCAGCCCTCTGTGAACAGTAAACAGCCATCAGTGTGCTAATGATCCATTGTTAGGCTGATGGTCCTTCTTGACCATGTGAGCAGCTGGTTTTGGTTGTCAGCAGCAAAACTGGTTGATCCACTCTGAGAAGGTGCTATTTAAGAGACTGAGCTGAATACAGCACCTCAGACTGAGGAAGTCTTTCGCATGAAAGACGAAACGTTTCTACATTTTTTGTTGTCGTTTTGCTTTGTTTTTTTGAATGTCCAGAGGACAAGCTTTAACTTTTTAAAATAAATTTGGTACTTACGAATTTGTGTGCAGGTATTCAAAGGTAAGCTGAGCCCTGCTCAGGTTGCTGTAGCTGGAATAAGCCATGGCCCCACAGTTACTGGGTAGTCTACTTCCTTCCTGGTCTTCTGTATTGTCTTCTTCCTGTCCAACTCTAATCAAGAGCTTTCATTCTGCAAAAGGAAGTAGAAAGTACTATCACCTGTCTTGTGTGTTGCAATGTTGCTGAATAGCGTCGCATTTTCAATACATGAGCTGGCGTTAGCTGATTTGGATGTTGAACAACATGCCACACGAGGTACTTACGCTTTTATTAAAAAGTCTCCCTGCATGTGAAGGTACGTCTAATGAGTGCACCACGTGGGAGGCCTGTAGAACAACAAAATAATATGAATCCGGCAAGGAGCGCCTGTCTGCACATTTCACTATTAACACTTCAGTGTGTGCATGTTGTTGGTATTACTTTGGCTGGCTTTCTAAAAAGTAATATAACATCGTTGTTGAACATATGAACGCACAATACAAAAGTTTTACACGTTATACAGCAACTGTAAACAGCGTTTAACGTTAGGCTAACGTTAGTAGCTAACAGGCGTTAGCATCTGACAGAATGTTTAGGAGGCAACGACGTTAGCATTAAGCTAATGCTAGCCAAAACCATTGAATTCTGTCAAAGTGTTTAAACCGCCATCATGCTACAACAACTACATGAAATAATCAACATCTAAGAGAAGCATGAAGACTATAACATTACGTTATCTTGTTTTTGATGTAAGACAACCCCACAGGCCGCGTAAAAATCCCGTCTTCTTCGACCGTGTTTTCTCTGGAGCGCAAAGATTTGCACAAGTCCCGCCTCTATCTTTCAACAATGAGCCAATAGAAAGGCACCATGACAAAACTCTTAACGATCATTGGACGAGACGTCTTTCTACGTAGGCAAGGTTACATTCCGCTGCGCTAGAGGTACTTGGGTGAGCCAAAATGATTTATAACACAGATTAATCCAAACAACACTAATTATTCTGATACATGCTCAATAATCCAGGTAGAAAAATGTAACAAGGTTCAGGTCCTCTAGACGGATTCTTCTTGTTGAAACGTTTCGGGTTTTTTTTACAAAAGACTTCTTCAGTCTGAGGAGCTGCAACAAACTCATAAACAGCACCTTCTCATAGTGGATCAACCAGTTTGCTGGTGACATCCAGAGCTAGTTTCTATTCTATTCTATTCTATTCTATTCTATTCTATTCTATTCTATTCTATCAGCCTAACAATTATGAATTAGTGCCCTGACAATTGGCCATTAGTGCCCTGATGGCCGCTTACTAGTCAAGGCCATTAACGACCAATTGTTAGGGCACTAACGAATAATTGTTACAGGTAGGTTGATGACACCTGGGTTAAAATTAAATCTCAGGAAGTCCAACATTTCACTGATCACATAAACTCTGTGGATAAATATATGTATTTATAACTTTATATATAAAGTTCACACAAGAAGATGTAAAAGATGGCTTGTTGGCCTTCTTGGACTGTGAGGTCTCAGTTTTTGATGGAGGACATTTGCAAACTGATGTGTACTGTAAACCCACCCACACAGATCAGTACTTGATTTTTGACTCCCATCACCCTGGAGCAAAATTTAGGAGTCATCAGGATTTTGTACCACAGAGCGAACAGTGTCCACTCTGGGGCGGCTGTGGCTGAGTGGTTAGAGCAGTCATCCTCCAATGCAAGAGTTGGGTTTCAAATCCACCAGCAGTCACATGCCGAAGTGTCCCTGGGCAAGACACTGAACCCCTCATTGCCTCCGATGTGTGTCCCATCGGTTTATGAATGTGATAAAATTTGATTAGGCTCTTTAGAATGATTTGTTCAATTAGCTTTGTAGAGATCTAGTAGAGAGCTGTATGAATGGGTAAATGACGACAGATTGTAGTGTAAAGTGCTTTGAGTATCTCAATAAGATAGAAAGGCGCTACATAAGTACAGTCCATTGACCATTTACAGTCCATTCACTGTGGAGCCAGGCAGAGGGAGAAACTGCTCCAGATCCTGAACAACACGTCACACCCCCTGCATGCCACACTGGACTCTTACCGCAGCACCTTCAGTCGTAGATTGAGACCACTGGTGCTCCACAGAACGCCACAGGAAGTCCTTCCTCCCTGTGCCTATCAAACGTTTCAACTCCTCCCCCTTTCTGCACAGAGGACAATAAAATTAATCCTGCACCACAATAAACACTTTAATGTCTCTGTCTGCACCTGACCTGTTTAGAAATTAATTGTTGAATTCAAAAAATGTTCGATACAAAAACAACTAACAACTTAATTGTTGTTTTTTTTTTTTTTTTATATATTCTGTTATTTTTTATATTCTCTGTGATTTTTTTTATATCTTGTGTGATTCCTTGTGTGTGTTCCTTTGTACTGAAACTGGCACAATTTCCTATGGGCTCAATAAAGTTCTATCTTATCTTAAATCCCACACAAGACAGGCCCTGGAGCAATGTGGATATCCTAACTGGGCCTTTCTGAAAGCAGAGAAGAAACCCAAACAGGACTCCAGTCAGCCAACAGGTGAAAAGGAGGAACCCAGACCAGTGGTCATTCCGTATGTTGAGGGAGTATCAGAGAAACTGAGACATTTATTTAACATAATGTCCCAGTGGCTTTTAAACCCCAATATACATTACGGCAAAGACTGGTCTGTTCCAAAGATCCAGACTCCCGGCGCAGAGTAATGTTGTGTAAGTTGTTCAGTGTCAGGAGGGCTGTGATCAGTCTTACATCGGGGAAACTAAACAGCCACTGGCCAAAAGGATGGGCCAGCACAGAAGATCAACATCCTCAGGCCAGGACTCTGCGGTCTACACTCACTCATCTGCAGGCCTGTGGTCACTCGTTCAGGGATGAAGACGTTCACATCCTTGATAGAGAAACGATAGTTTGAGAGGAGTAAAGGAGGCCATCTTTGTGACGAGAACCCAACCATCATTAAACGGGGCGGAGGCCTCTGTGTTCAATTGTCCACCTCTTACAATGCTGTTATTGCAAGTATCACTCAGCCCTCTGTGAATAGCAAGCAGCCATCAGGGCACTAACGACAAATGTTAGGCTGATAGTCCTCCTTTTACATGCGAATAGCTAGTTCTGGACATCACCAGAGAACTGGTTGATCCACTATGAGGTGCGGTTTATAAGATTTGAGTTTATGCAGCTTTTCAGACTTAAGAAGTTTTTTGGACAAGACGAAACGTTTCAACAATAATCCGTCCAGAGGACCAGACTTTGTTAGATTTTTCTACCTGTATTATTGAGCATGCATCAGGATACTTATTAAACACAAATTATTTTGCTGTTCAGTCTTCTGTCCTTATTTTTATTGAACTTGCGTTTTTGTGAAACGTTTAACTAAAATTGACAACAAATGGCTTAAAACAAAAGTCCTTAAAAAAATAAACCACCCAATATTGTCAAAACAAGTCAAGATGTGGCAAAAAGTAAAGAGAAAAAAAAAACAATACAAATTATGTCTTTATTTAGGTTTGCATAAAATCTTTCAAGACATCAATCCAGAAATGTTGCTCATTTATTTTACTGGAGACATTTTAACTTGTTTTAAAATAGAAATTACAAATGACACGACATCTGCAACACTTTTTTTTAAAGCTAAGAGGACATGAATACTGAAACTAGTAGATGTTACATGTGGTTTCTGAGAGGTGTCTGCTAAACACAACCTGCTACGTACATCCAAATACATTTGGTCTCACAAAAAACAAACAAAATAAAAAACTTTAAAGGCAAACATACTTTTAAGAAATGTTTCAGTGTTTCCTGTTATATCAAGAACATTATAACTCGCCTTCACGGATCCTTTAAGGAACATTCTTTATTAGAACCCTCATGTTGCCATGTCAAAGTTTAAGACACAAAAAAGAAAAATATGGTCCGTCAAATATTCTCTAAAAGCTTTTTGTAATCAAAAGATGTAAAATAATTTTTCCATTCTGAAAAAAAAAGTCAAGAAGAAAAATTCAGTAAAGGTCTCTTTATTTCAATAAATTTAAGTTTTAATAAAGCTAAGTAATTTTAAAACTAAAATTGACAGGACACTGCACTGTGGTGTAGACAATATCTGAAACGTTGTTTCTTTACTGTCCTGTTAAATTTATTACTCTTCAGTAGTATGTAATTCATAAATTTAGGAAATATTACAAAACACTGCAACGTCATGATTTTGAAATGAAGTATGAGTCAAGTTAGAAAACGACTTAAGATTATTTAAAAAAGTATTTAAACCTGAACTGACACAGTCGTACTTGAACACAATAGAGGGGGTTCAGAAGTGTTTATATTTTCTGTGAACTTTGAACTCAACAAGGCTGTTTTTAACAGATAAATTTGAACTGAGCACAGCTCACATGACAGCATCAATCACTATTTAAAAGTGCTTTTTTTAAAGAACAGATTAGATTATCTCATAAAATGATTAACAAATGTAAGCAAGTTTATTTTGGTACTATGACTTCAGTTCAGAGTTTTCAGTTAATGAACTAAACTACCGGTAGTTCTTATAAGTGTTCCGAGTTATTTCCACAGGAAATGACCTTGACACATTACAGGGATTCATGTAATAAAAGTTAAAGTGTGTTTCTCCAGATCCATGAAAGGCATCATATCGCTGCTTACTGATGTCTTGTTAAAGCAGCTGGACGCAGTTTTTAAAGTAGTGGCACCTATTGCTCTATTTCTGCCACCAGCTGATTTCTTTGTGGTGCAGGATGATGAAGAACGGTCAGCTTTCAATCAGAGGCTCCTGTAAATACAGTAAAGTAATAAAAGCAGGGTAACAAGTTACATATTTTCCAAGCATTTCATGTCACAAAAACTGGAATGAACACTTAAAAATATATGATTTGGTGCTGTAGTAACATTAGGAACTTACGTTTTGGAGATCAAGCTCACTCTGGTATTTGTGGCGTGTGTTTGACTTTGTGAGACTTGCAGCTAAGCAGAGCAACAAACAAACACTGAGCAGCAACACGCTGACCTCAACAAGATGTCGCACAGACACGCTTTTCTCTTTCTAAAGAATAAAAAATAGAATTCATGCATTGTTTAAAAATTATCACTATTATGGCTGAACAAGTTGTTTTTCAGGTGTGACCTTTTCATACCAGCGTTAAGTTGACCGTGAGTGTGGGGTCATTCTTGAAGTGCAGCCTGTAGCAGACCTGTGATGTTGTTACCACCTGATTGTTCACCTCCACAGGGGTGGTGGAAATATTTATTTCTGATGCAGGGCAAATTGGAGGTAACCTTTATGTTTTGTTCACAAAAATCACACAAGAATATATCAAACAGACAATAATAAAAACTTTGAATCAACAGTTATCTATTTAACTGCAGTGCTTATTATTTTTTAATCATTAAAGCATATCTTGAAATAAATAAACTTACGGGGTTGTAGGCTGGAGGTTTGTTGGGATACTTATGGTGAGGCAGTTGTTAATGTTGTCAGATATCTGGAGTGTAAAATTAATAATTTCTTTGTCTAGAAATCAGAACAAATATAACAAGAATGTATTTTAGAACGACTTCAAATCATTTCAAAACGGTTTCATGGGAGAACCAACCTCCAAGACGAAGCTGACTGGCTGTTACGTTAGAGCGTAAACTAATGTTTTTCAGTGAGCCACCGTGTGGAGAGGTCGTCACAGTCAAGGGAACATGAAAACGCAGAACAATGACAGAAGCAGGACTTTTTGTTGAGTTGACTGAAGTCGTTTTGGATTCCTCCTGCTCCATTAGCGGTGGAGGAAGTGAGGAGCCTTGCTCAGATGAACTGGCATTTATTATTTCACACAGAGGGAACTGTGTTAAGGATGACAGCACAATATTCCAGTCCTGCAAGAAGATAATAAATGTTAAAAATATAGCTGCAAATTATATTTCAGTTCAAGTGAACTACAGAGTCCACACATTAAAAAAGTAATAATAAATAAATAAAAAGAAGAGGCCTAGCATTTCTTGAAGGAATACTCGTTAAACAGGTCTCTCTTGTAAATGAGTCCTCGTGACTCAATGAGACTAACCTGTATAAATAAAGGTTGAATGAATTGCACAATGCCTTTTACACCCCAGTTAGAGACTAAGATCATCGTATGTTGATAAATGATGGGGTTGAACCTGTTTTGGTCAAAACTTAATTTGCACAATCTCATACAATATTGTAAAATGTCACATGAAGAATGTGTTGTTAATGGTGAAATCACATTTTAGCTCAGTGTCTGTAAAACTGACTGAGTTATAGACATTTTTGTGTTGGCTAATGCTGATTAGCTGTGGCGGCCATCATCACTTTCTCAGTAATTATATATACAAAAAAATACATTTCATGGTTTCAGAATTCATGCTCAATAATCCAGGAAAAAAAATCCAACAAAGTTCAGTCAGGTCATCTGGACGTTTTTTGTTGTTGTTGTTGAGATGTTTCGTCCTTCATCCAAAGGACTTCATCAGTCTGAGGAGCCACAACAAACTCAATTCCACAAGCAGCACACTCACATAGTGGGTCAACCAGTTTTCTGGTGATAAAATGGTTTCTGGAGCCCACCCTCTCCCCCATTGACTCCTCTGAGGCAGCCATAGCCAAAGTGGTTCAAAACATCAAAGTTTATGCTCAACAATCCAGGTAAAAAAATCCAACAAAGGCAGGTCATCTGGATAGTTTCTTTAAGAGGGTGGGCCCCAGAAACCGTTTTGTCACCAGCAAACTGGCTGGTCCACTATGTGGGTTTGCTGCTTGTGGGACAGAGTTTGTTGTGGCTCCTGATGAAGTGCTTTGGATGAAGGATGAAATGTTTCAACAAAAAAAAGAAACCGTCCAAATGACCTGACTGAACTTTGTTTGATATAATTGTATTTTCGTCACATTATCTTAATTATTCTTTCATAATTCTAAATTTCACAAGTCTGTATAAGATACAAATAGGTCCTTACCTTTGCGATGTCAGGGTTAGGCAGCCTGTGAATGTAAATGTAAGAGCTGAGGTAGACGAACGAGATGGCCAAGATGAAAAGACACAGGAAAAAGGTCGCCCCTGGAGGTTTATGGGATACGTATTCTCTAAGGTTAGAGACTGGCTGCCAGAAACTCATCATTCAATTCCACGCACAGCTGGGATGTTAAAACCTGCAAATACAAAAGCATAGAGCTACTTCTCTTCAAGGACTCTGCATTTTTTCCCCCACAGCTGCATTTATTGTAGACTCCATCATGTTTAAGCATTTTAGTTGTTGTCAAGACATTGTCAGTACATCTTGTCGACCTGCAATGTTTCAGTCAGGAACACCTCTGTTAGTGTTTACCTTCTAAGTTGATAATATTTGTAATGCTAGAAAACTTCTCTGCATTCAATAAAACATCTTCATATTTGCTAACTTAATTTGAGACATCACAACTAGCTTATTCCAACAACCAGTTTCCTTATACATAATTATTTTCAACCTTAGCTTCAAATGATGCTGCTCAGAAACGGGATATTTAAGTCTTTGCTCTATTGTTTATTTCTATATTAAAGGCAAATTCTTATTAGCAGCTATATATCTCATTTTACATTAGACAACTATAACTAATAATGCTCTATTTTGTCTAACAATCATATTCTTAATTGGAAATCTGACAATGAGTTATGCAGGCTCGTCCCAAACACACCCCAGACAGAGGTTTGAATTTTCCAAGTTATTATATGTCAGTGAACACACCATCATGACAGTAATAGAAACTGTGACAACAAAAACAGTGAACAGCTTTTACCATGTAGAAGAAACAGTTGTTAAAGTTGGCCTCTCAAACAAAACAGAAGAGAAGGACTCAGTCTAGCTTTCAGCTTAAAGTATCAAAAATGTGCCACCTGCAGATTTGTGTCAAATGTTTTGCTTTGTTACTACAGTAGTTACAGCTTTAATATACATGCTACTAACCTGGACCATGGTCCAGGTTAGTAGCATGTAACTGCAGTTACACAACTTGTTGTGTAACTGCAGTTACACAACTTTCAACAGGATAGTGCCAAAAAGCAATGAATAACTTCACGAGTTTTAAGTTTTTGTAGTTGAGAAAATAAAGCACAACACTTACATATTTTGCTATCAGAATATTTCTAGTCTGTGCCTGGTTTATTTACAGCTATCTGAACATCGGTCCGTACTTCAGCATACACGTCATCCAAAGACAAATGTCATTTATGTCTGCAAAAATTCAAAAGCTGATAGCTCACAACACTCATAAAATATGAAGGAAAAGCATTTTAAGTGGGCTTTGATACTGTATTATCTTTTTTAAATTACATAAATACTAGCATGAACAACTAACGTCTGGTGACAGATTATCTTTCAGACACGTAAGTTGTAGGAGAGCTAACAATTTGTCAGTGTGAAGCTAACCACAGCTAACTAAGTAGAAAGGTGAGACATTTACATACCTTAAAACAGTACTTTCAGAAATTTACGTCAGTTTTTCTGAAATACTAAAATGTAGAAAGTCCTGCAAAGTCCTACTTTCAAAACCAACAACGAAAACAATCGAACCACGACAGATGTGCTACTTTACGGCAGTGTTGATCTAAGTCACGTGACTGATGACCAGCTGACGATGGGTTTCAGAGCTTTTTACGTTTGATAATCCTCCTTGCTGTTATTAGTTTAAATATATATTGATAACTCTTTGTAGTGTTTTACTTTTAATATTTTCTTTGAAAAAAAAAAAAAGCTGTTTACGTTTGCTCTACCGGTACATATCTGCAATCCTTTCACTTAATGAACTGGATAAAAACATCAAGGTGTGCAGATTTTTTATTTATTTTGAATGATTCAAATTAAATGTAGTAACATGGCAAGTGCTGAAAAACATTAAAAATATATATTTTCAAAATTAAATTTCAATCCGATTTACGGCAAGTACTTGTCAAAATCAAAACATACTGTAACATTAACGTTAACCTTTAATTTTTTAAGTACATTTTTATTGCATAAACTTACAAAACAAAACCATACTGATCAACAAAAAACAGCTGAAGTTAAAAATGTATTGCTTATGCAGCTTAAAGGGGTAAATCACAAACCCAGAACATTAAAATTGATAAAACTCTAACAAAAAATCAGGAAAAAAAATCAGTTATAGACATTCACATCAATGACTTTTAGTTCTTGGTCAATTGCCTGAGACTCAAAATTCTTATTCCTGTTATCCAAGCAAATAGCGAAACATTGCAATTTAAAAATTTTAATTACTGAGACAATCAATAGTGTTTATAATCTCTATTTTTTTGTAGTTATAAATCTTTGTGTAGCCCAGTTCTGTGTTTAAGATTTCCAGGTGACTTTTATAGGCTTGAAATTCCAAATATCAGGGTGACCCATGTGCATCAAGTCTTTGTAAGGGGAAGTGCTCCACTGGAAGACGGGCAGCTGGTCCCAGGTTGGCCCACTCACTGCCAGAATGCCATACCCTTTATACATGTCATAGGAGGTAATCTGCACACAAACACATATAAAATGAATCAAATATATTAAAAAAAGTTATCCAGTCATTTTATTTTAAGCACAAACACATAAATGCATTTTTTTTAAAAAGGAGATGCAGAGCAGTGTGTGCATAAAGATAAGAACCTTCATGTCTATTCCCCCATGTGATCTCTGCATTAAGGCACCGAATGGATATGTTCCGTTAGCTGAATTCAGATCTGAACGGGCTGAGATTGCGTTCTCTCCATTTTCAGATGGATTACATTCCTCACACCTTGATAATGGATCTTCTTTAAAGTTATTATACCTGAGGAGTACCAGTACAGCACATTAGTAAAGCACATTTCTAATGTCAGTCGATAGTTTGTGTTGTCACTCTTTACCTCATGAGACGGACCATGGAGTCCAAATCCGTAACACGTGTCTGGTCTCTTTTGAATATCTGAGCACGAGGATTCTGATCCAGGGTAAACCACGAGCCATACTTTTTCACCAGCTCATTGTAGCCACTGACATTAAATATGTCCTCGAAGTACCTACATTGTGTAAAGAGTACTTCCAATCATGTGTAGTCTAAGATGCAGATTTACATATTGCCTAAAGTTCCTGGAATCTTACGGTATGTTGTAACTGGCCCAGTAGCCTTTCTTCAATAGTTCTTGAGTCTTATCAGCAAAGAGAACAAGTCCCCTAGAGCAAAACAAGATAGGAAGTGTTTATTTACAACGACTCACTAGTGAGATGTGTTGCATAAAGATATTTTGAAAAATTAATCTGTACAAGTTTCTGTTTGGGTGTGGAAACCTACGGAATCTGCTCCAACACAACAAAAAGGCCCTCTTTAATGTCAGTCTTTCCTGGCGTGAAGTGGTTATAATCCACAATCATCCACTGGTTGTTGTATCTACAAAAGACCCAAACATACAAACAGGCTGAGGGAAATGCATTTACAACCTTTGACCTGCAAAAATTCAGTTTAGGCTCATGAGAGGCTCATGTGACTGATATTCTGCGAATTCAGCATTTCACAGTGAACATCATGACGAGCCAACTCAAGCCTCATGGGATTTGAAAATATAGTTTTACTGTCCTAACTCTTATCAGTCCACGACATGATATTGTTCACATTTTAGATATTTTATTACAAGATGTGTTTTCTTAACACAACAACTTTGCTGTATTGATTTGTAAACAAAAGAAATCTAAAACCTTTGCTTTGTCACATCAACGGTGTGTTTTATGTCCTTTGTTATGAAGTGTCACTCCACTACAGTCGGTGGTAATTTAGAAGATTTCTGTAGAACTGGCACGGCCTTGATGATGAGGGCCACTATCCAGCATGTCAAGTTTAGTTGTTTCCCTGCTCTTCAGCAAGTCTTCAGGTTCTGCATAAGCCAGTTAATCATTAATTTATTCAGATCAGATGGGTTGAAGCAAATAAACACTTAAATCATGCAGGATAGTGGCCCTTGAGGATGATGACTGGACACCCCTGATATAGACTATTTGTACCAAATCAAGTCACCCATCAACTTTCAGCAGCGGAGCCTGGAATTTGCTCAAAAGATTAAAATGGGACGAATTGAATGGTATTTTAAAAAGCAGCACATTTCATTTTTCAAACTCACGTTCCGCTGTTGAACTTTCCAAATATCTCTGCCCATTCTTTGGCAGTGGCAGCCAGTCGATTAGCAACAATGTTCCGCAGCCACTCCATAACAGAGTCTGTGGGCTGAACAAACTTCCAGAGGTCAGCGTTGCTGTTGCCAATGGTGGTTTCCAATGTAACCTGGAGATAAATAATGCATTTTGGGATTGTAATAATATTTCACATAAATATATCATTTATATTTTGGCAAAACTCAAAAGTTTCATTATCTCCAGTAAAAATAATTCTCACCAAGCCACTGCTCAGAATGTAGAAGTCATCTCCTGAAAAAATTGATCCAGGGTAAGATGAGAAGGCCTGAATTCTTCCAGGAAGTGGATTATTGTCTGCAAAAAGGGTTTCACGTTTAGTTTCAAACTGAAGAACAAAAAAGGGTTTATATATATATATATATATATATAGATAGATATATTTTTTTTTTATTTGTTTGTTTTTTTTAGTTCCAACGAGTTGAAATAATGATGACCATTGGTGGTATGTCATATGTTGGTATGTCTTCTGAGCTACCTAAAAGGGACGTTTGAAAAGCAAAGTTGTATTTCTTCATTATGCGCAGCATGGACTGGTAGTTTGTCCAGGAATCTTGTGACACAAGCAGATCCTTATTTTCTGGCAGCAGTTTAATGAGAGCAGAGCAGGAGCCAGAACCAAGGGGTTGACTTTTGTGGGATTTTTTTAGAGCTGATTCCAAATCTTCAAGATCCCCACCCATTTGGAAAAGTCTGTTTGGAAAAAAACACGAGTGGAGCAAGTGAGAGGACACCAAAACATTTAGACTTTCATCTCTATACGTGTTCGTTTGTTGTAAAAAAAAAAAAGATCAGAGCTTACAGGAAGCCAAGTGGATTGAGTGAAAAGGTTCCTGTTGGAAATAATAGCTGGTCATTGTAGCTATCCTCAAGACCTTTCAACTGTAGCAGCACCAGACGCACCTGAAAAGCAAAAGAAAATACTGAAACGTTTGAATTCTACAAATATATTTCAGTATAAGATTTCTACAAATGCTTAACTACCTGGTACCAGTAGGGTGAAGTTGGCTCTGACTCTATTACAGTCTGTATCCACTGCAGGTTGATTGTGATGAAAGCCTTTAGGCGCTCGCAGTAACCACTCTCAGACATGAAGGGCCCACAATAACCCACCAGGGTGTTCATCCATTGGTTATAGATGAGCTGAAAAAACAACATGCCACATCCTTAATTAATACAAAAAAGAAGTAATTTTAACCGTCAACTAAATATAACTTACCGTTGATGTAACTGCAGCCTCGACCGCACCGGCAGCATATGCTTGAATGCTGTCATTGTATTCGCTGCTGGTAGTGATCTCCAGGAAGGACCAGCTTTAAAAATTACAGAGTATAAAATAATAACATTTCAATATAAATTACAAAAAAACAAAACAATCTAGTGTAGTATTGTCATCAAAAGTCATCCCACCTATTTTATTCTTTAATGTCTTAAACATTTTTAATTGCTTCCAACAAAGACAGACTTATTTTGTTGGTTTTTACAGTTTTGTTGAAAAAGGTCAAACATTTTCTTTAGCAAAGGCTACTTTTTCATTTTCAATGGGTTGGTTATTTGTTAAGTCACTGAATAACCAATTAGTAACTCTGATCTATGACTCTTTCGGATATAAAATGACCCCTAATCTTAAGCGGTACACCACAGCAGCAACAAGGCAATTGCAAATAATATATTTGTATTTAAGATTTAATGTCTAGCAACTTATACACATTCATTCTGATTACCAAGAAATAGCAACTATGATAATACTGTACTGTGACAGGTATAAATTACATATAATTTTGCATCAACAAGATGATTCCTAAAAACTATTACCAGTAGTTTAAAACTTGATATGCAGTAAATTAAGCAACACAACGGAAACACATCTTCCAAACCATGTCTTATGAAGTTTTTTTTTTTTTTGGTGTCCTCATATCAACAGTAACAGAAAAATTTATGACCATAAAATTCTGTAACATTAATGTCTTTCAAAAGTTTTATTCACATTACTTTATTAATTTCATTACTTACCTAGTACCAACCCATTCACTCACTCATCTATCCATCCATCCACATATCCATCCACATATACATT